TAAACTATTCACCAATCTGAATGAAGTGTAAAAATTATGGTCAATCAAACATCTAAATTTATTCGGAAATAACTTGCTGCGGACAGGATTTCAGTGCAACGAAAGCTGAATTTTGAGAATAAATTGAGCCCTTTAATATTCTAGACGTAGTTTTAGGCAGTCACAGACATTAGCGCAATATAATCTTGTCAAAATTAAGTAGCAAACCTGCAGTTCGAAGACTAAGGTTCATGAGCAACGCCACGGCGTACTCCAGCGTGTAGTCGGACTGATTGTCAGTGAGTTCAAGTAGATCTACCAACCACTCGACCATGCCAAGTTCTACCATTGCAGTCTGCATTGATCCTCTACACAAAGTTGAAAATTCAGTTCAACAGGATTCACAAAAGGATACCTCAAAATTCATTAAATTTTTAACAGATAAAACTTTAAGAATGTGTAAAGCAGGCAGGCATACAAAACGTGATTTAAATAGTGCAGCTCACTACGACAAATCAGGCATTTTAAGAGAATCGATTTCTTTTTTTCAATTTTCCAGGCTCCAAAGAGTTCCTCTGGTTCTAAAATACACCTAAGATCCGTGAAAAAAACTGATAAATACTATCAGCGGTAATAGCCAGAACTACTTTCAGGCGTCTGCTTACGTTGATTTTCTTAGTTTAGAAAGGATTTCCTTTCAAGGTGTCAGCTGAACCAATCAGAAACTACACTCCAAAACATCAGTAGTTCGCTGTTCGACGGTCTATGTTAAAATACAGAAGGAACAGAGAAGAATGCGACTCGATCGCTGGGACAATACTTTTATTCGCCTGCAGTTTCGAGATCCGTCGCGAATTCATCATCAGAGACACCAGCGGAAAACAGACATGAAGATATTTATTTTCGTATAGCATTCCAAAATTGAAAGCGATCAGTCGTGCACAAGAAGCAGTTACTTCTCTAATGCCAAACTAGCAGCCGAATATTCATAAAGCTTGAAGTAGCCGAAAACGATGCCCCAAACCACTCTCTCAATTGTAGTTCCTGCTAAAAATTAACAAACTGGGATGACTACCTTTACTGTCAGTAGTTAACCGAACCTCTTCCGAGTACCAGAGAAATGTAGAACTGGGATAAAATGAGTTATCGTGAGTTGAACCGAAGCCCAAAATTAGATTGGTTGGATCGAGAAACATCTACAATATCGCCAAAGTCACTTTCTGCTGCGAAGGCGGGACCCTCCATGCACTCACGGCAGTCGACGAGAGGAACAGGCCAGCTGG